TTGGCCAATCAGATACTGGTCATGAAAATAAAATAAATCAATAATATTGCATTTAAGGCTAGCAGAAAAAAGTTGGTTCATAAGTTAGATGACACCACAACACTGTACAAGAAATATAGAAACATTTTCATTTCCAATAAATTAGGAAGAGAAAAGCTATGTCTGATAAAGTGGCATAAAAAAGAGAGAGAAAAGTGACATCAGCAATGGTTTTGGTCCTAATATCCATTATTTTACAGAACTAATTTATGATATAAATTAAGCAGCATACAGCCAATAGTTAGATATTGGTTCTAACAGGTTGAAAAAAAAGGGCACCTAAGGAAAGTAAATACCTCTGGGGTCAAAATTATAGAACGATTTAAATATGTTGACCAAGACTTGAACAAGTGAGCTCCAGCACCACTGCAATCGAGCAAAACATCAGAATTGATACAGCTTCCTCCCGATTTATCACGCCAAGAAAACTAAGCAATAAGGCAAGGGAGACTTTGCTTATTTCTTCATCTTTTAGAATTTACCCTTTTTTCTTTTTTCTTTTTTTTTTTTTTTTANCCCCTTGTTTTACTTTTATAGGATAGGAAAGCATTCTGAATGGTTTTGAATGGAATGGCCAACAAGATTCTCATAAAATTAGTAAAGCGCATAACTACTTCAGAAAACTGCAAATGCGACTACAAAGGAGAAGAAACAATAATGAGTTAATTAAACCTTAAGCATAATAGTAACATATAAGATTAAAGATTTTCTCTCTTTCCGGGAAGTCGTATAGTAAATGAGATACAACACACCAAACAAATTCCTTCTTATAAACTCATGAACCAGACAAATTCCGAATGTTAATTCTCGTCCAAGTACCATAACTAGCAAACAAGAACAACATACCTTGGGAAAACAAAAATATGGTTGCGGCCACCAGATATCCTGAAATATGGCATTTGACTTAAAACCTGAAAATAAATAGTACTAATTTTAAATAATAATTCCATCGGGACAAGTTTTCCAAACGTCCCCCATGTTTGCTTAAAGAACTGCATTACCTTTACATATGTTTGATTGATTTCTTTATCATTCAGTCCACCCATCATTCGAACACATTTAACATAGGATGGAACGAAGAACAGATCTGCTTCCTCTTTCTTTCTGGTCCGATATGTTGATTGTAAAAGTAACCGATGAATTTTAACCTAAACAGAATTCAATAACTATATTATAATGTGAAAGATCTTGAAGGAGGGACTGGTAAATATCCTTAAACTCTACCATGCGTTGTTAGGTTTTACCATCGTTATATGATAAATATATTTCCCAATTTAAGCATCCATTCGTCTTGAAACTATGATTCAGAATAGGTACAAGTGTCTAGGAGAAGTAGAGAACTATGCACATTGAATCAACCAAAATATACATACGAGCTAAAGCATGACCTACTGTGTCATCACAAAATTGAATACAGTTTATTAGCAGGCTATGTTTGCATCTTTCTCTTATATATTTATGAACCGGAAAAATCACATTCTTCCACACTACAAATACAAATGCCAGGTCCACTGTTCAAATAACCAACATTTGCAGTTTCTTTACATCCTTCCACAAACACAATCACAAAAGAAAGACAGCATTGAACTCTTCTGCAACTTCCTTCACTATGTCAATGTTTCCCAAACTACAGTCTTCTAATAGAGCTTTGGATAAACTTACCAATTTCCAATCTTTTTTTAGCTACTTAACATCAAATTTAGAAAGGAAAAAAAATAAAAAAAGCTTTACACTCCCATTCACATCACAGACAATCCAAATAAACCCTATTCAACCAAGCACACGTCCAAATAAAAGAGTCCAAATGCATTATCCCACTTCCCAAACAAGCCCCTTTCGAATTGGAAAACTTACCTGGGTGCCCCACTGGCCTCTAACGCAGGCGTCGGCAGATATTTTCCCCTCGCGCCCGTACATCAGCAGCTTCAGACCATCGATCTCGTCCTCGTCGTACACGTAGATCTTCAGATTCAGGTGGGCCCCATACAGCCCGAACCGCACGACGTCTTCCGGCGCTCTGCTCTGATCGTCGCCGAAGAACGAATCGCGGAGGGATGAGGGGCAGGGGCCTAGGGAGCGGTCGAGGAGCCTGGTGAGGAAGAAAGTGACGACAACCAGTGCGAGGGCGGCGATCTGATGGGTGCGGCCGCAGGTGGAGCTGTGGTAGGATTGCGAAGAGAAGAACCTGGAACTTTTGCCGGTGGAGTTTATGCTCGCCATTGATGAGAAGGCTCCAGCTGAGAGTTGAGCCGGAGCTCGACCGAACTCGGATTTTACTGATACAAAGCCATGTATTTTTGGTTTCTTTGTGATTTACTTCATAAAACAAATTGGATTTGCAACATTACTATAAACATTTTAATTTTTTTACTTTTAAATTGTTTACAAAATAAATAACAAACTGTCAATTCAAACATTTCTTTTTATTTTTCAATTCAATTTATTTAATTTAATGAGTTATTTATATGCAAATTTTGGGACATTAGTCGATAAATGAGAGGTTATAGCTTCTTTGACACAACTACTTTAGACTATAACTAGTGCAAAACCAATGTTCAATTAAATTCAATTATATTTACTTGAGTAACCTTCTTATCAATGGAGAAGAGAAACTCAAAGTAAAATTATTGCTTGAAAGCTTCAACACAAACATAGTCCAAATTCTAAAATCTAACACCGTAGATCTGTCACTATTTCAATTTAAATCCAATGATGTCATTCATAAATGGTAATTGAATTTCTATTTGTTTTATAATGTAATATATTAGTTGAAAACCATAATTTGTGTCTCAATTTGCACAACTTAAAAATCATGACATAAATTACCAAATAAAATAAAAAAGGGTCTTAAATTGCATTGAAGTAAATAGAGTTTTTCAAATTTTTTTCAACACTAAGTTCATTTTGTTGACTGGGTCAACGCAGCACTCGATCAACACTTCTGCCGAAGCCCAGTAATGCTTCAGTAAGCTATCATAACAGGCCTGCGTACCGCTAAAATGAATAATATCGAGGAAATTACACTGTGTACTACACATATCACTTTTTATTGCAAAATTACCATATGCATAACATTAATTGCACAATTACTAGATATATAAAAAATAATTAATTGAAGTACGCAATTAACTGATTAGCGTAATTAAAGGTATACTTTCTCTCTCCCTCTATCTCTTCTTCTCCCTTCTTCTCTCTCTCTCTCTCTGTTTTTTTTTTCGGATCGGTGGAATCCTTCCTCTCTCTCCCTCTCTCTGTTTTTTTTTCCACATTGCAATTGGATTGAAATTCATGGTTTTGGAATGAAATTCATGAGATTTATAAACAACTCGACGTCTGGATCTCGAATTATTTTCAGTATATGTTCGGTATATATTCAGTATACATATATAAACCCATAAAATAGTATATGTTCGGTATACATATGTCCAGTATATGTTTGCCTGAATCTGATGTTATTTTTCAGTATATATTCTGTATATGTTCGGTATATGTTCTGTATACTTATATAAACCCAATATATATATATATAGGAAGTAGTTCAAATGAGAACCAAGTCTTAATATGAGAACCGTGAAAACTGCTATTTTTAATTGTATATAGTGCTATGATTGTTTGTGTTTTAGTGATATTTTTAACCATGATGTATTTCATTAAACATAGCAACAAAATTTATGTTAGCATTTTGTGAAAACGATAGCACCATGTGATATTAAATATAGCATCATACATAATTAAAAATAGCATCAAATATGGTTCTCACGGTTCTCACACCAGGACTGGTTTTTATTTGAACCAACCCCTATATATATATATATATATAAACATTCGGAAAAAACTCATAAAATATACTACATATATACATGCATTAGGTATTATCTTGATAACGAGTGACTACATGTATTAACGGCTGACTACATATCTTATTTGTACAAAAATAACGGCTGACTAACAAATCGCGATATTTAAGGACATTGATCTCTATTTGTTGAGGTAATCGAAATTAGGTATTATCTCAATTAATTTCCATGCATTAATTAGGTAAACTTGCAAATAAATTAATCCCCTTGGTAATCTAACAATAAATTAAGAAAGAGGAATTTGCACGCTCCACTTAAACAATATAAAAATATTATATAATTACATTCCTTATATAATTATTTACAAATTAACTAAATTTGTTATATTTATTTGCATATATGCCTAAAAAGCTAATTTTCTAATTACATGGTAACTTCTCATTCTCTCTCCTCTTCCCCCTAATTACATGGTAACTTCTCATTCTCTCTCCTTTATCTCTCCTCTCTCTTATTCACAGACGGTCCTTTCTCTATTTTCTCACCCAAAACCCTCCAGGGTCCACCGCCGCCGCCCTGCAGGTGAGAACATCCGCGACGAGGCCCGCCGCCACGCCTCGTCCCACGGCTTCTCCGCCAAGTACGTCCCCTTCAACGCCGACCCATTCTCCACCGAGTCTTACTCCCTCGACGAGATCGTCTACCGAGCCATTCCCGCGGTCGTCATCTCCAGGTAGGCGATCCGAGAATCGTTTTCCATGGAGCCGACGAGAGAGAAGAGGAATATCTTTCCGGAGGATGATTTATATTCAATATATTTTCGGTATATTTTGTGTTGTGTTCTGGTATATTTTCGCTTCAGGATGATTTCGGATGATTCGGTTTATTTTGTGTTGTGTTGGGTTGAGGTATATTTTTGGTATATTTTTCATGGAGTCTACTATTTTGTGTTGTGTTGTGGTATATGTACAATATATGATCAATATATGTACAGTATATATGAAATAAACCTGGCAGGAGTAAAAAATATATCTTGATTTTAATTGACACCTTTTTTTTGTGATTATTTGCGTAACTTTTTTCAGAATAAAATTCAAAAAAAATTTGTATTTTTTGGTAAATGGACGCAAATCACAGGCAAAAGAAGAAGAGAAAGTTGAATTGATATGGTAACTGAATCAGTCAAATATTAAAAAATTTTAAAAAAACCCTCGTCGCCGAAAATCCCCAAATTCCCAGCCGCAACCCTCGTCTTCATCGTCGGCATCTCTCGCCTCTCTCGGCGTCCATCCGGCTTGCCGGTGGACTGCCCACCGTCGAGCTTCCATACCACTACTGCGGCACTTCCTCTTCTTTCTCTCTAGCAGCGGGCGAGGATGGCGACCTTCGGCGGATTTCGTCGATCTGCAATTGAAGACCGTCGGAGCCCGAGTGTGGAGAGGCTAGGAGGAGTGCGACCAGTGATTGGAAGCGGCTCGTTGGCTGCGCCGCTACTGTTCAGGGTTCCCCTTTCCTTCCAGTCTTTGTCGATGGGCTCAGTTCGGTGTCTGTGAATCTGCTCTGCTCGCCGGCGTTTCGGTGTGGAGCGGGAGAGTCGGGTTCGAGCTGTGGTCCGTCCCCGGGGGCTGGGTGGAGAGGTCGGGTTCGAGCTGTGGTCAGAGCGGCTCTTATCGCCGGGCTTGAAGGTCTTCCCGATTGCGGGTCTTCGGTTTTGACCGGAGTATCATCCTTGCGGGCCGGGTGGATAGGTGGTTGTTCCGGACTGGGTTTGGTCCTTCGGGCAGGATTGGTGTGGCTGAGCTCTGAGGTCATTCGTCCCCTTCCTTCTCTCTCTCGGTTTCTGAGTTTGTGGGAGGCCGTCTGTTTCCGGAATTGGCTAGTGGTGTTAGGCATATTCGGGATGGTTTCGGATTGGCTAGTGGTGTTAGCCGGTTGGGGGGCGATTGTGATTTCTTGCGGTCGGTGCGCGGGTCAGTTTCTTCGGTTTGTTCTAAGACTATAGTCTTCGTCTTGCTAGGCCTTCTGCAGTAGCGGGCGAGGTACTAGAGCTTTGGAGCTCTCTTCGGAGCTGGCTTGGTCTGCCGTCTTATTCGGATGTTTCTGTTGAGGGAGGCTTCGTGTTTAGGTTTATGATTATTCGTAGTTTTGTCTGTGTGTTGTGTTGTTTTGCTATAGTTTGTATTGTCAGTGTTTTAATGTTGTGTTGTTTTGCTATAGTTTGTATTGTCAGTGTTTTAGGTTTGGGCCGTTGGCCCCTGTGAGCCCGAGTGTCAAATTTATTACTCCGTGGGGGTCCGACACTCGGGTATTACTCCGTTGGGGGTCTTGTCTAGTTTTGTTGGTGTAGTTGGTTTCGTGTGGTTATGTTTTTTCGTTGTTTTTGTGCGTGTTGCCCGAGTATTACCCCGTTGGGGTCGGCTCTAGGCGATCTCTGGATCTGCCTCCCATTTTTCTAGTCTCTGGTTGTACTATTCAGCCTTTGGCTGCCTTTTCTTCGCACTTTGTGCGGTTTTTATTAATATAATACCTCTATCGTTTCGAGAAAAAAAAAATCAGTCAAATTAAATACACGTGGAGAGTGGTTAGAATTAATTGGTAACTGCCATTATGCATTAATGTAGATAACTATTATCTTTTAGGTAAAGTCACAATTAATTACATGTATATGATAGACATGTAATTTTTTTAAAAACGTATAGGAAGGATAAAAATTCTCATTAAGAAACGCTGTGTATAAATGAAAATCTCCCAATAATATTTTCTGAAGCCCAATAATGCTTTAGCAAGCCCACATCATAATAGGCCCGAGCCCATTATTCTCCCCCATTTCATTTCTTCACGGTCTCATAAGAATCCCCTTCTCTCTCCTCTCTGTATCTCCCCCATCACGAAGCTCGCTAGGGCTTTTTCAGTTTCTTCCCTTTCTCACACACGCTCGGCTATCTATAAATTGCCCCACACTCTCTCGATTCAAATTCATTCGACCCCTTAGGTTTTGTCTCACAAGTAACCGCGAGCAGGAAAGTTCGATCAGCGATCGCGATGCCGCGGCGGGGGGATGAGTACGAGGACGACGACGACCAGGAGCCGGAAGAGGAGGAGGAGGAGGAGTACGCCTTGGACGAGGAGGAGGAGGAGGAATATGAGGACGACGGCGGGAAGACGAAGCGCAAGAGGGGCGGCGGGTCGCAGTACATAGATTCGTACGCGGAAGAGGACGAGGACGAGGATGAGGATGAGGAAGAAGAGTACGGCGGGGGCCGACGTGGACGCGGAGGGAAGCGGCACAGGAAGGGCGCGATGGATTTTTTTGACGAAGAAGCAGTCGTGGATAGCGATGAGGAGGATGAGGATGAGGATGAGGGGGAGGACGGTTAGGGTTCTTATCCCTCTTTTCCTTTTTATTTTGTTTTTCTTTTAATTTTTTCTTACCCAGTTGCGAATCACTACTATTTGTTGAATTTCGAGTTAATTTGTCTATTGCATAACTGAAGAGGATAGGACTTTTCTTAATTGACCAAGAGAAGTGAAATCGGCAAGTGAGTGTTTCTTTCTTAAATTTAATGTCCAAGTTAATTGGCTTCAAAATTGGAGAACTGGAGAAGGTTATGTCATTTGGTATTAAATTTAAGATGATGTTTTAAAGTTGGCAGAGCCTTATGTGAGAGAACATGTTTGAAGATTTACATTAGAAGTATTTGAGGATAAATAGGTATGATTGAGGAAAAGTTCGATAGATGGTATGATCTACTCTTTTAATTTGGAGGAGATGTATAATTGTAGTTGTAAGTTCGTATTTGGATTTCTGTATTTCAATTGTGCCTCATAACAAAGCTGAAATTGGACTGGATTATGGAAAGTATCAGCAGTTTTCTACCTTAGGTGGTCAGCAGTTTGAGTTAGGGGTTCATTGATGGCCAGACAACATATCTGTCTTCTTTGTAAATTATATGTATTATTTGTTAATTTTCTACCTCAGGTAGCTGTTTGGATTGTCTGGTGTCACCGTTTCAGTACTGTCTTTTATTGTCCTCAGTTTTCGTTCGTAGTTCTATGCATTTTGAACATTAAGATAATTGCCAACGTAAACTTTTGTGGTGGTTCTTTACCACTTCTTTCCCTGTATGCTGAGTGGATGATGTTGCTATTTTACAACCCTTCACGTCAACTCCTGTCTGATTATATGGCTCTCCATACATAGATTTCATTGATCGTGGGGCTGATCTACCTGATGAGGATGATAGACGAATGCATCGCCGCCCCTTGCTTCCACGTGAGGATGAGCAAGAAGACGTTGAGGAAATGGAGAGAAGAATTGCGGAGAAATATGCTGCTAGGAGCCTTAATGTTGAATATGATGAGGAGGCTACAGATGTAGAACAACAAGCTCTACTGCCATCTGTTAGGGATCCAAAACTATGGATGGTGAAATGTGCGGTATGATAATGTGATGCTTCATTTTATTGAATCAAACTAAAATGGGTTGAAAATATAATCAAATTTCCTTATGTTCGACCAATATTATATTTCCCTTGTTTGTGAAAGATTGGACGTGAAAGGGAGGTGGCTGTCTGCCTCATGCAAAAGTGCATTGATAAAGGACCGGAAATGCAAATTAGATCTGTCATAGCACTGGATCATCTCAAAAACTATATATACATAGAAGCAGACAAAGAGGCTCATGTGAGGGAGGTATGCAACAACTGTTTCATCTGTTTTCTTTCTTCCGGCAGCTTTTTGATGATGTAGGGATGATAAATAATCTTGTTTATTCTACTACAGGCTGTTAAGGGTATGCGAAATATATATCCAAGTAAGATAATGCTTGTCCCAATTAAGGAGATGACCGATGTTCTTTCGGTTGAAAGCAAAGCAATTGATATCTCTAGGGACACCTGGGTTAGAATGAAGATTGGAATATATAAGGGGGATCTTGCGAAGGTAGAAATTTTTACTTTAATATTTTGTTTCCTCTAGCTTCTTATTATTATTATTATTATTATTATTATTATTATTATTATTATTATTATTATTATTATTATTATNAAATTAACAATGGAAGTTCTGATATATAAATGCAAGGTTGTAGACGTTGACAATGTGCGGCAGAGAGCTACTGTGAAATTAATCCCAAGGATCGACTTGCAGGCCCTGGCTAACAAATTGGTTTGTATTTGTAGTTTGTTGTATATAATTTTAGGTTTGACTTAGGTGAAAGTTGCTGATATATGCATATGATATCAGTGTTTGACGGGCAATTACATGCCACTTGTATGACGTTGTTTGTCAAATTTTCTTGTTCTTATGGCAGGAAGGTAGGGATGTTCCAAAGAAAAAGGCATTTACCCCACCTGCACGATTGATGAATATAGATGAAGCTAGGTAAAGTAGTTACCTTTCCTTCACTCGTGTTTATTTTTGGCATTCCCTTAATACTTACATTGTTTATTTTTTATTCAGAGAGCTTCATATTCGTGTTGAGCGGAGACGAGACCCATCTACTGGTGATTATTTTGAAAAAATCGAAGGGATGATGTTCAAGGATGGTTTTTTGTATAAAAATGTATCACTTAAATCTCTCAGCACTCAGAACGTGCAACCAACTTTTGATGAACTCGAGAAATTTAGACATTCTGGTGAGGGTGGTGATGGTGACATGGCCGGTTTGTCAACACTTTTTGCCAACAGAAAGAAAGGTCATTTCATGAAGGGTGACCGGGTTATAGTTGTCAAAGGAGATCTTAGAAACTTGGAAGGATGGGTGGAAAAAGTTGAGGAAGATACTGTTCATATTAAACCAAATGAAAAAGGCCTTCCTGTGAGTGGAAAGATGTATTAATATCATGTTTTCCTTTTGAACATCATGCTATTAGTTAAAATTAACATTTTTCCTGTTATTTGCTAGAAAACTTTGGCTATCAACGACAAAGAGCTTTGCAAGTACTTTGAACCTGGAAATCATGTGAAGGTTGTATCCGGTGCGTCTGATGGTGCAACTGGTATGGTTGTCTCTGTTGAAGGCCATGTGGTTAACATAGTATCTGACACGACGAAGGAACTTGTATGTCTTTCTTTTAACTCCATAAGCTTATTTTGTCTGAGTAAGTGTGTTGATTTTCTTGTGTGCTTTATGTGTAGCTCCGTGTGTTTGCTGACAATGTTGTGGAAAGTTCTGAAGTGACTTCCGGTGTTACTAGGATTGGTGATTATGAGCTTCATGACCTTGTGCTACTTGAGTAAATCTCTCTTTGCTCTCTTTTTTCTTTTTGTCCTTGTTTTTGGATTTTCCCTCTTTTTCTGTCTCAGTTTGTTAATTTAAAACCTATTCTTGTGCAGTGATAATAGTTTTGGTGTAATTATACGCGTGGAGAGTGAAGCTTTTCAGGTAAGTAGTACAAATTTGAAGATCATGGAGACTAATTGTTTGTTATCCAGTGTTATTAATGGCGGATGGCAGTAAATGATGGTTTGCCAAAAATCCACCATAGTGGCCGCCGTGGCGGCCTATGGTGCCTCCGCTATATCGCCCTCCTTCACAAATTTAGCATGGCGCATTGTCAACAATGTTATCCTGAACTTTCATGTTGGCTGCTCAGGTCCTGAAGGGTGTCGCAGAGAGACCTGATGTTGCCCTGGTGAGGTTGAGGGAAATTAGGTATAAGATTGACAAGAAGCTTTTTGCAAAAGATCGTCATAATAATACATTATCCGTGAAAGATGTTGTAAAAATTCTTGAAGGTCCCTGTAAGGTGTGGTTCTCAATCTCTAGTTTCATTTTATGTAACTTTTATTCTCCTGAAATTGTAGAAAAAAGTTGATAATCTGGTTGTGTTGATATAGTTGCTAATACCTTCATAATTTTTTCACATCCTAGGGGAAACAAGGTCCGGTTGAACATATATACAAAGGAATTTTGTTTGTTTATGATAGGCATCACCTGGAGCATGCTGGTTTCATTTGTGTAAAATCTGAGTTTTGTATGATGGTGGGTGGGTCACGCGCAAACAGTGATAGAAATGTATGGATCTAACCTAATGTTCTCATGTTCTCATTGACACAGTATCTTTTCAGTAATAGTTTGTTAATATGTGTTCGAAAACATTTCTTGAAGGGTAATGCAATGGCTTCAAGATTTAGTCACCTTAGAACTCCTCCACGGGTTCCCCAATCTTCTACGAGACCACCTAGGGGTGGTCCTATGAACTGTAAGTCACTTCTTTTGAATCCAATTTATCTTCTCAAGTACTTGGGTTACATCTGCTATCTATCCTGATAACTTTTTTCTAAAGTTCGTAAACCGCATTCTCATGTGAAAGTTCGTAAATCGCATTCTCATGTGAACTTGAATCTTATGTTTAGTAACTTAGTTTGGTGATAGTTCTTTCATTTCATGATGTTGTTTGGTATGCATTTTTCATTATTTTGTATTTTCTTGGTTCGGATAGTTGGAGGAAGGCGTGGAGGTGGAAGAGGTCATGATGCTCTAGTTGGAGCTGCTGTTAAAATTCGTCTGGGCCACTACAAGGGATGCAAGGGACGTGTAGTAGATGTCAAAGGTGCCACGGTCAGGGTTGAGTTGGAGTCACAAATGAAGGTTGTTGCAGGCAAGTTCCCTTTCTGTTGAAATATAATATATTTTTGTTTTCCTTTCTTTTTCACTGTTAATATCTTGATTTGATTGTAATTGTTTGTGCAGTTGATCGCAGTTATATATCCGATAACGTCAATGTTACTACGCCATTCAGGTAGGCATTCTACTGGAAAACTTTTTAGGTTCTCTGATTGTGAACTTTACAATCTGCTGTGTGTTCTGTGTCTCCAGGGAAACATCTAGATATGGCATGGGAAGTGAGACCCCTATGCATCCTTCTCGAACACCACTGCATCCATATATGACTCCTATGAGAGATTCTTATGGTATGTCATTCGAATTGTTTATGGTGGATCGGTTTTTTTTCTCACTGCACGATCTCATTTTGGTAAAGATCTGATATTTTGGTCCTAATGAATTGCCCTGCAGCAACTCCTCATCATGATGGTATGAGGACTCCTATGCGTAACCGTGCATGGAATCCTTACACACCAATGAGTCCACCAAGGTAATTGTTAATTCATTTAGTTAGAGATAGGTCTTATGAGGTTTGTTTGGGTTTAACTTGGGATATATTGGAATTTTTTTGCTTTATTTCCAATTATTTTACTTAATATCGATGACCTGCTTGCTTTTATCATTTATTTCCTATCTAATTTTTTATTTGTCACTATGCAATCCACATCATAAGAATTCAAGAAATGCTCGCTTTTCGTTACTGATGTGGATAAAATTTTGATTATGAAAATGTCAGGGACAACTGGGAAGACGGGAATCCTGCTTCTTGGGGAACTAGTCCACAATATCAGGTAACTTTATCTCGATAAGTTTTGGTCAGTGATGTCAATTATCCTCCATGGTGACTGCCGCGGGAGATTTTTACCTTATCGTCATTAGAAATTTGTGAAGGATGGTCGCTATGGCAGAATTTCAGCCTCTGCCACCATTGTCGTCCATCCGCCATTGATAACACTGTTTTTTCTCTATTCGCCTTTATGTTTTTTGTGCATGTCATTAAACATCTTTTAAAACTTTGCAGCCTGGAAGTTCTCCTTCACGAGCATATGAAGCGCCTACTCCTGGTTCTGGTTGGACAAATGCTCCAAATAACAATTACAACGATGCAGGCACACCTAGGGATAGTGGTTCTGCCTATGGTAATTTAGTTTTTACATAAATCTTGTTGCTATCAAACAGCATTTCAGATTTAATATTTAACACGGATTCTATTAATTTCTTAAGCAAATGCTCCAAGTCCGTACTTGCCGTCCACACCTGGTGGACAGCCACCAATGACACCAAGTTCGGCATACTTGCCCGGCACTCCTGGTGGGCAACCAATGACACCTGGAAGTGGTGGTTTGGATATGATGTCACCAGTTGTAGGTAAATTATGTCCTTGCTTTTTTTTTTTTTTTTTTTTTTTTCNTTTTTTTTTTTTTTTTTTTTTTTATCTTATCTCTATAAATAATTTGGTGTCAAATTTATTATGTCCTGAAGTATGCTTTTTTGTGAAGGTGGGGACAATGAAGGCCCCTGGTTCCTCCCAGAAATTTTGGTCAATGTCCGTAGGGCTGGTGAAGATAGCTCGCTGGGTGTTATAAAAGATGTTCTGCCGGTATCTCTACTCTTTTTGCTCGCCTTAGCCTTTTTATTTTTCTACATACATGTTTCCATTGATGTTTTAATTAGTAAAATTGTTAAGAATTGTGAATGGTTTTCTTTGAATTATGTCGAACAATCGAGGATTCTTTTTCTTTTTCTAGTCAAATGCTATATTATATAAGTTTTAAATCGTTGTGCTTCTTATAAGGAACAAAACGTTTCTTTTTAACATCTCTGGAAGAGCAAATAATGGAATTTACTGAAATACCCTTTTTCTCGTCTGTTAGGATGGGTCGTGCAGAGTAGGTTTAGGATCGAGCGGTAATGGTGAGACGGTCACAGTCCTTCCTAGTGAAATTGAGGTGGTGCCTCCGAGAAAGGCAGAGAAGATCAAAATCATGGGTGGTGCACATCGTGGGGCCACCGGTAAGCTCATCGGTATAGACGGCACAGATGGAATCGTGAAAGTTGATGACACTCTTGATGTCAAAATCTTGGACATGGTTATACTGGCAAAGCTTGTGCAGACATGATTTGGCAAGATCCTCCTTAAAAGCTTTGAGTTGGCTTCTGGCAGATTGCTACTCGAAAAACCTCGTTTTTATGCTCGTGCAAAACTGGCGGTGTTTACTGTTGTGTAGTAACCATGGATTTTCTTCTCGGGCAAGAAATTCTGCATAATTGTGGAAGGAGTTGGCCTTTTTAGATGCTGTTTTTATATGTGTTTTTCTTTGATTACTTTTTAACGAACCAATTGAGAGATGTATATTAGTAATGCTACTTTGATTAGCTAGCATATGAATAATTAGTAGTTATATGTTTCGTCTGACGTTGATGATCGTCTCGAGTGATATCATTGTGTACCATTTTACATTTTGTATATTTTCATCAAATTATGGGTTTGCCCAGTTATAATTCCGAAATACCTGTTGGCTTTACTTGAATAGGGTAAACTTTTGGTATGTCAGAATCTTCTTTTTTATAAGAAAAATGAATTGATTCGCAAACTCTCATAAGAGCATGCTTACAGATTGCTTCCACGTAGTTATTATTATTTGCAATTATTTATGATCTCCACTTTTTCTAGAACTTTCATTGATTTGATTGTGGGAGTGTCAACTCCGACAGAAGTTCTCGATCCATTTTGTAGGTCTATTGTGGACTACTCCATCTCCGGAAACCAGGTCATCAAGCTCAACCGGGGTTTTAGTGGGCTCACCCGGCTTTGAACCGGGCTTTGTTTGGTGGAGCATCTCAAACGTAATCACTTTGATGAAGTTTTTTTAAGTTTTGTTTGCTTGTTTATGTGCTGAAATGACTTACTCTGTTGAGGGACTATCTGTAAGAGAAAAATAAGTGGGGACAAAGGAACACATGCCCTTGATTTAATTGGTGAGATTTTTGTGAATATTTTTAATTGAGAATATTAGCACACTTGCTCTAGGCTAAAACGCATCCCATGTTTTGGTTCGTAGTTTTGGTTGCGCCTGGTTTTGACTTATTATATATTTTTTTTTTATTATTATTATTATTTTTACCAATGAGTGGATAAAATGTGTTTTTTTTTTCCACAATCTTTTCTGGTTATATCTGTGTAATCAACGAGTCAATTTAACAATTGTCAAGCTATGTCAACATTGTAATTAATGTAAATGAAGAGTAATAGAAAAAAATATTATTTTTTTTTATGATACTTATTAAATATTTTCAAATTCTATGTAAAATTTAAGAAATAAGCCAAATGAACAAAACAGTTTTTTGGCTAGAGCTATTATTTCAATCAGGTCCAGTTATTATTTTGTGTTCAAACTTCTGTTAGTTTAATAAACGAGTTGCCATAACTTATTTAAAACCTCGACTCAACTTGACTCGACTCGTTTAACAAATTTTAAAATTGTATTTAGTAGTATGCGAGCAAAGCTTATGCATTTGTCAATATGTTTGGCTCGACTATACATTCGAAACCTATTAAAAAAAGATAAACATGATGTGCGTAAGCGAACTCGATTAATTTTTCGAATTCGATTCGTTCAAGCTTAAAACTTTCACGAACCAAATTGAATTGTATTTAAACAATTCAATTCAAATAACACCTTCACTTTGGCCTTTTTAGTTCTTTCTTTTTTTTTCCTGGTTTCAAGCAAAATATGACCTGCACACACCCAAAACTACCCAATTAACCCAAAACACGAGTCTATCAGTGCTTTATTTTATTAAATAACACAGTGCATATACTGCACAAAACTGGTCAAAACTTGAAAACAAACACCCAAAACCACAAGCACCCAATTTATTACAAGAACAAAAACCTGGAACTGTTTTGGACTTGGGGTTTAGCTTTTTCCGCCTACTGTATACCAAAGCAATTTGCCAAGATTCTCAACTAAATTAATTTTTCAATCACACTCACCAATTAAACAAGCGCCGCGTGTTTTTATTGCATTGTCCCTCTTCATTTTTTCTCCTATAAATAGCCCATCTGGAAAGTGCCATTTCATCATCATACACAAAGCAAACAAAAGAACTTAAAAGATCAAACATTGTATACTCTTATTAGTTATTACAACTCTTGATCAAGAAAACTAGCACAAGATGTCAAGCACTGCAGGTCAAGTCATAAAATGCAAAGGTATGATTTTTTTTATTCTTATTTAAGTGGGTTTAAGAGCTAAGTGAAAAGGGTTGCCTTTTCTTGTCTGTAATGGAAAGTCGATTGATGGGTTTATCTTTCTTTTTTTTTTCATTTGTGTATTTATTTGAGTTTGTTGATATTTTACTGTTCTTTTACTATTTCAGCTGCTGTTGCTTGGGAGGCCGGAAAGCCGCTGGTGATGGAGGAGGTGGAGGTGGCGCCACCGCAGAAAATGGAGGTCCGCTTGAAGATTCTCTTCACCTCTCTTTGCCACACAGATGTCTACTTTTGGGAAGCCAAGGTGACCTAAATAAAAAAAAATAAAAAAAAATTGATATTTTGATTGATTTTGTGTGTGTTTCTCGACATTTGTAAACCTTAGAATAGATCAATAAAAAGGAAAAAAAAAAAGAAAAAAAAATTCTATCTAATTTCCTTGAGGAAATTAACTACAAATATCCATCACTAATGAGCTCTGTGATTAATTGATGCATTTAGAAATAAGACCAACATTGAGGATATTTGCCATTTTGAACTTGTGATTCTGAATCTTGATTTGCCTTTTTCATTTCTGGGCTCTTGATTTATCTTTTCTAATGTTCTTTCTACAATTTTTCAGGCTCAAGATTCTGTATTTCCTCGAATTCTCGGACATGAAGCTGCAGGGTACGGTTAATTTAGCCCATTTCTGTTAAGGCCTAAAAATTGAATCTTTTTCACTCTAAGGCCTAAAAATTGAATATTTTTCATTCTAAAGCCTAAAAATTTAATCTTTTTTATTAGTATTGACTAAATATATACTATTGAATCATTTTTTATTAGGATTGTGGAGAGTGTGGGAGAAGGGGTGACCGAACTTGCGCCTGGAGATCACGTGCTTCCGGTTTTCACGGGCGAATGTGGAAAATGCGCTCACTGCAAATCCGAAGAAAGCAATATGTGCAGCCTTCTGAGGATCAACACTGATAGGGGTGTGATGATTCATGACGAAAAACCGAGATTTTCGATCAAAGGGAAGCCGATTTACCATTTCGTGGGGACTTCAACGTTTAGTGAGTACACTGTGGTTCATGCAGGCTGTGTTGCTAAAATCAATCCACTTGCTCCTCTCGACAAAGTTTGCGTGCTTAGCTGCGGGATTTCAACAGGTACCATTCAATCGATTCCATTTTCTATTTTGGGAGATAAATCGGCTTAAGTTATTATTGGAATTTACTAAATTCGTCGTATTTGTCTAAATTAGGCCTTGGTGCTACATTGAATGTTGCAAAGCCGAAAAAGGGCTCGTCGGTTGCTGTTTTTGGACTTGGAGCTGTTGGTCTTGCCGTAAGTTCTTGATTCCTCTGTTTCTGTGGTGAATTTGCAAAATTTGGAATTAAATAAAGTCAATTTGAGTGATAATTTATTCATTTTTTTGGGGGGGGTTATTTATTGCCATGTTTAGGCTGCTGAGGGTGCCAAATTGGCTGGTGCTTCAAGAATCATCGGTGTGGACCTGAACTCGGCCAGATTCGAAGAAGGTATGATTACGAACACATACTCAAATTTAAAGAAACAAAGTAAATTCATATTCTTAAAAATGTAATAATCAAGTTGAATATTGTTATTTTTTGCTAAATGCAGCTAAGAAATTTGGTGTCACTGAATTTGTGAACCCAAAGGACTATAATAAGCCAGTTCAAGAGGTAACAATATAGATATACCCAAAGTCTTTTAATCCCTGTAGTATTATTTATCATGTATGTTAATATTACTAACTCTTCTTTATATTCCCCTTTTATTGTTATTTATTCAGGTGATAGCCGAGATGACTGATGGAGGAGTTGACCGAAGTGTCGAGTGTACTGGAAACATTAATGCCATGATCTCTGCATTTGAATGTGTTCATGATGTATGTTACATTTGCCAAATTTTACCTTTAGAAGACCATTATGGTTTACATCATACTCGAATTTTCGAAAAAAAAAAAATTCTCATCTTTCTAATGTTTTGATAGGGATGGGGAGTTGCTGTTCTAGTTGGCGTGCCTCATAAAGATGCCGTTTTCAAGACTCACCCGATGAACTTGTTGAACGAGAGGACTCTAAAAGGAACTTTCTTCGGGAACTATAAACCGCGCTCTGATCTTCCTTCTGTGGTTGAGATGTACATGAAAAAGGTTTGTTACTTTTGCTTCCCTCTATGACTGGTAGTCAAAATCTCTAGACTCAATAAATTGATTAATCTTACTACTTTTTGGTCCTTTGTTTTTAGGAACTTGAACTCGAAAAGTTTATAACTCACGAGGTCCCGTTTGCTGAGATTAACAAGGCCTTTGAGCTTATGCTCAAGGGTGAAGGGCTCCGTTGTATCATTCGAATGGACTGAAGCTAAAAATGAATGTACCTTTTTTTATCAGTGTTGTGTTTTATGTTCAAAGATGCCTCTCAGAGTTTCGAAACATCGTTGTTCCCAGTTTTATTATGTGTACCTTGGGGCTTTCTCATCTGCAAGACAAGTTTAATTGAGTGAATAATCTGTTTTTGAGAGTTGTGACAGAGTTTGTATGTTGAATCTTGATTGTACACAGAGAGAATGTGAAGCCTTTGTTAATTCAGCACATTTTGAGCTTACATTTAACTATTTTTGTGAACATATTCAATCAATGATCAATACTACAAATAAAGTAATCAACACACACATGGAATAAAGGCATCACAAACATAATCTTTCTTGTGAAATCTTGATTTGCACAAAGAGAGAAAAAAAATAAAAATTCCAAAGTATGTTATACACTCCCACACTAGTGTGTATCCCGTGCGATGCACGGGAACAATATTAAATTAACAATATTATAAATAGACCTCGAGTTTGAGTCACTCAATGGCGGAAGTGGAAACTACTATTGATCCTATTTAAAAAGAGGAAGAAAAAATAATAATTATAAATTAAAGAGAAGGATAAACAATACTTAATAAATATAAATTAAAGATTCAGGGTCAAACAATGTAAAATTATTTTGTATAAGAGAATATAAAAAAATTTGATTACACATTATTTCAAAATTATTATTATACTTTTTTGTTTGGTTAGCTTATAATATTTGTAAAAATATTAGTAATTAGACCGATGGAAATTAGTTTCTTAAAGTAGATAATGGATTTCTAGTAGTAATTATGAATTGGTTTCTATATTATCTTATTTTTTCTTTTTAAATATAATGCTAGTAGTAATTATGAATTAATTTCTATTTTATTTTATTTTTTCAAATCTATATAGATAAGGGATGAGATTTTTTAAACACGTGAGACGTATGCAATGAGATTTTGTAACAGAAGAGATAAGCTCGTGTAGATTTATACTAAAAATAGGAAAAAGAAAAACAAATATTTATTGTCAAACAATGGTTTTGATAAATTAAAAAATAGAAAAAAGAGAAACAAATCTTTACACAATTAATGAGCCGATTTTTTTGCCTATTCAGATTTGTCCAACAATTACTATATATAAGATATATTTAATAATTTTGGGGGGAAAAGATTTCTAAATTTGTAAAAAAGTTATTCTTTTTATATAATGATAGATGGGAATATTTCATCCTTTATTTGCAACAAATTGCTTCAAAACACATTGATTTTTCAGTGGTGATGAGTTTGATGAGTACTAGGATTAGAAGAAGATTCTCCAGTTTCAACATCAGTTATATCAACAATTTTTTCTCCAGTTTTTGCATGCATTTCTTTCTCCTCCTCCACCTCATTCTTGATGATCTTTTCTTGGGTATGCTTATCCTCTTCCACAGACAAAACCACGGCCTGCGGCCCGTGTGGGCCCGGGACAATAGCCTCCTTCACTCTCCGGTGCATGTCCGTAACAATTAAATCGGTCTCCTCAAATGTCTTCTTTTTCCTCTTGTTCTTGATCAAGCACCAAAGGGCGAAAAAGCATAATACAGCGAAGAAAAAGCAGCCAAACGTGACAAAAACGACCACAATTACAGTGGGGCCATCATCGGATGATTCCATTTTTTTTTTTTTGCCTTTTTTTTTTCTCTGGTGATGAGTATAGTAATGATTAAATTGCTTTGAATGCTGATGGATTTTTAGTTTGTGTTTGGGTTCCTTATATACTATGTCATGATTTTTAGTGTAGCTTATGGCAATGCCTTTTAAGGATTGGAAAACTTGGCTCCTATTTTAAGGTTTGTGTTGATGAAGTAGGTTTGTAGTGGAGTACACTCATTTCTTGGGATTGCTTTCACTAATTTGATAAATGAAAATTGTATGAAATTGAAAATGCTATTAATGTATAACAAAAACACAATTTGATAAATGAAAAAAAATACCATCCTTTTAATGGTGCAAAATAGTAAAACTGAAGCAAACTATAAAGGGTGTATTAGCAAGTATTTCTTTTTCCTTGACTCATTGAGATTGGATTAAGCAGATATATCTATTATGGCCTTTCCACATAAATAAGTTCATTTTTCTACAGAGTAGAGAAAGCCAATGTAAAATACTTCTTATTGATTTATTCTTATCTTTTTGGCATGAAGAAGAAGAAGAAGAAAAAACTCACAGGTGAGGAGAATCATGGACAATTAAAACCCCGGAAGCAAAAACGAGAAAAGGATCTCGTTCCAAATATCAGGCACGCCAGGTAAGCACCAGTGACTGCAATCAGGGACCTCTCGATTATCACTCCAAGAACCCACATGACCGTCACTTCTAAAAGCCCCCATTTGAGTCACATGTAGCAGTTTTACCGGAAAAGAAACCCTTTCCACGGCATTAACTATTGAATCAGTTATCGAGCTCCTTTGTCGCCCATTAGGCTTCGATGAGGGCCTTGTTGTCACTCTGCACTTCTGACGGGACCCGCTACTGCTTGCATTTTCAGCAGCAAAACAAGTGATATTTTTCAGCATTTTGTGCACATAAGTATTATTAGCTAGCTAGCATGCACATTTTTTTTTTTTTTTTTTNTTTTTTTTTTTTTTTTTTGGGTAATATATAGATTTTTCGGGTTTTTGAGCTAAAATTTTCGTAATTATCCACTATATGAATATGAATGAGAATCATTTGTGGGGTCAATGTTTGCTTAAACATGCACATTTAGGACTAAACTGATGTAAACACACTACATTACCTCCAATGAGTGGACTCGAAAGTTCGGAAGAAAACATGCGTTCTGTTGGGATCTATTGCACTATCAGTCCACGATTGCCACGTAGACAGTGCAATCTTAAACGCCTTACTAATTGGCATACCGAACTTTATCTTATTACCGACCTGAAAATACCAGCCCCTGTCTGAAAAATGCTCATCAGAACTATACCACAAACAAATATTATGAAAAAAAACATTACATTTACGTTTATTTACTAAACTAGAAACCATCCATGTTACTATCTCATGCAACAAATGCAATAGAGAAGCATTACAAACACATGATGATCAAACAAAGTAAACAACTAAAACAAAAACGCGCGTACATTTCAAAGAGCTTGGTTGGAGTCCACCAATGCCCCGAATTGAAAACAAGAATATCAGAATCGACCCATTCTCCACTAACATCATCCAACTGATCGAGCTTCACGACAGTCTTAACTCTCTTGGGCGAACGTTTAGGAGCTGGGCCAGGTTGCACTAGAAAAATCGACCTATAAAACTCGACCGAAAGCCCATATGACCCAAACCGGACACCCAAATGCCTAATCCGCTTCGTGATCTCATTACCATTCATTTCATAAACACTATTCTTTTCCTCAACACCACTCATCAGCATACACACCATAGACTCCCACTGAGTCCTACTCAAAGAATCGCCCACAAAAACGACCCTTTTCCCACGAAGAAACTCTAGAACTTTCCGAGCATTGAATCTTGGGATTTCGCAATTGTGGGGCTTCCACCTCCACTTTAGATACTCTTTATCCTTTCTACCGTTTGCCAAACAGTCGAACCCTCGTTCAACAAAAGGGCAATCTGATGCATTATAAAGAGGGTAACTCTCATCAGCTATCCATTTCCCATCAAACACATTGCAAACCTTGGGTGAAGTATTAGGGCTGTTAATACCCTTATTTCTATCGATCATCCCAACTACAGTTTCAGAAGATGGAGACAAGTAAAAGAAGGTACAACCCATGACTGCAAAGAAACAGATAATTGCACAAATCATGAGAAATGCTGTGAAGGATTGAAAAGGGGAGGTTTTGCTGTAGTTTGCAGCTAAGAGCTTGTAAAATTTGTGGGCTTTCTTGAACAAGGGTTTCGAAAGGGCAACCGAATCGAAGTACAAGTTGCTCATCGCTTCAATCATTTTTTCACCACAGGGATAGTTATCGAACAAAAAAAAAAAAAAGATTTGATTTTTGTTATCAAGAAACGAACTTTGGATTTGCTAGATACAATAATATACTGGGATCTCAAAATTTTCAGAAAGTATGGTGAAATCAGTGGTTGCAAGTGAAGAAGATTGTAATCAAGAAAGCTGTAAAGGAGAGCAAAGGGTATTTTGGTGAATTTAACAGTGGTTCTTGTGAGAATGAAGTATGAGCTAACAGCTAAATGGGTCCTTGGATTTGGAACAATCTACGCTTGTTCAGTAAACTAAATCCTGTCGGTGGACTTTTCTTAACAACAAATGCCATGTTAAAGGGGTAAATCAACGTTGGAGAAAGTACGGAAAATCAAGTCAAAGGCCAATTCAGTTATTATATAGGTTTTTGAAAAAGTTGGGTTTGGAATGAGATTATGTCAAATTATTCATAAACTTTTGTAATTTGCATTGATATATTGATATTTTTTTTTTTTCAATTATTACTTATTAACTTGTGCTGCAATTTGCATGAATATGTTAACTTTTTGTTACGAGCAGTATTAGATAAGCTGATAGAAAGATTGTAACGGGTGGATAGTTCCCTGAATCTGTTTAGCCAATTGAGGTGTTATGAATAAAAACCTAGATTGCAGTCTTCTTTATCTTGAATAATAATTGTCTTTGAATTTATGAATTGTACTGACGATAGTGTTTTAGTATGTATTTGTATTTATATTTTGTTGTGTTTGTATTTATCTCTATTATTGGAGTGATATTTTTACTGGGAGTTGTTAGTTTACCACGTGAAAGTTCTTTTTGGTTTTGTTTTAATATTGGTATCTGTGTAGTGTTATATTTTGTATTCAGAATCAGTCCTCATATATCCTAACTTTTTAGCTTATTTATATAGGATTTAAGTTGTTTTTTGCTGTCCTCCTACATTAACTTTTTTTAACTTTCTTAAATGATTTTATTTAGATTTAGATTGTTTGACATTAACTTTTTTATTAACTTTCTAAAGTGATTTATTTACATTTAGGTTGTTTGCGTGCAGTTCTCCTGCATTCAACATTTTCAACTTTTTAGCTTATTTAGTCGTTACTGTTTTCTAATCCGGTTATATTTGTTTTCTAATCTGTAATTTATTTTGTTNTAATTATGGAATTAGAGTACCTTTGTTGTTGGGTGGTCAAGCGTACGACAGTTTTCCACAATCACTTGTATAAATTAAGACACTTTGAGACTAATTATTTATTATTACATCATATTTATTTATGATTATATTTTGTAGCATTTGGCTTGTGTAATTTTTATTAGATTTCAGTTGCTATATACTGAATACTACATCTCAAGTTTCCCAACACAAACATAGATTACCAGAAAAAACTACTCTAAAGATTGTGAACAAATGAGCAACCTTTTTTAGGACCACCAAAACAAAACAACTTCAACATAGTTTTCCTTTGACAATTTTGAATCCCACTGTTAATTAAAAGCCAACAAATCGACTATTCGCCTTCGGCCAAATGAAAAATTCGATAAACTGTAAAAAGTATCAATTCAAAAAACAAGTACTTAAAAAAGCATGGCTCGTCAATCAATCGTCAATGGAGAGACGAGTATTGTTCGGCAACCTTTTGCCACGGACAAACGAGCTAAACAGGTGCAAAGCCCTTGAAGGCTGTGCATAAGGTACCATATGAGCTGCACCTCTAACTGTCGTAAATGTCAACAGCTTCCCATATTCGGTTGTCCAACCTCCCACCTAAACGAGTAACAAGAGAAAAAATTAATTCATCAGTATCCAAGATGACTAATTTCAAACACCAAAANATCACATACGAGTTAACTTGCTCGTAAATTTTGTTAAGTTGGGAAGAAAATAGATGGCACATTTTTTGTAATTAAGTTGAAATAAAAAAAAAAAATACCTGTGTTTTATGGAACCAAGCTCCATATGGTAATGTGATTTCGAACTGAAGATCATGAGCGAGCTCGCGTACGAGTGTTCGTGAACCGAGTAATGGTACGACAGAATCTTGATCGCCACTGAAATTTTACGAAATTATGGAATATTCTTCTGTCAGTTCTTGATTACATAAAGAAAAATGAATATTATTATCAAGGTTTTTTGATTAAGTTGTGAGTGAGGCCAATTAGATTATTTTTACCTGAAGATCAAAACTCGAATGCGATTCTGAATGATCCTCTTGAGCAATGGAAGAATATCAATATTTCCATCTGTCTCAGTATAATTCAAAACACTGCGCAAATGAAATATAGGGAAAACGAAAAGTGAGCTTATAGATTTAGATTGTTTATTAAAATTGCGCTTTGCTACATCCTCTCTTTTTTGTTACAATTAGAATCCTGCAAGTGAAAGGAACAAACATTCAATATTTCACAAAACTAGTTAGTAACTACGTACTGAAACTTACCCACTGCACATGGACCAACTGTAAGGTAAATTTGTTTGATTTGCATGTAAAGCATTCTGAACCTCAGGAAGGTTAAAGTAGAAACGCCTTTCATAGCTCATACAAACATCCACACCATAACTCATCTTTGTAGCCTGTAATGCCATATAATGAATTAACAATAATAATCCTTTTCCTTAACTCTCAAATAAAAAAAAAAAAAAACTAGAAAATTACTATACCATCTTTTTGAGACGAAGCTCCTGCTCCACTATTGATGGATAGCACACATCAAGAATCACATCGTAATTGTTTATATATTCACCAACAATGTCATTTGCCTTCGAAATGGCGCTGTTGCACGATTTTGACACGTTATGTGGATCGTCAAACGTGTAGTCTTCGAAATCACAGTCATTCATGATTGTAAGTCCAATTTCATCGGAAATCATTCCATGTGACCAGAAATACTCGTAAGTTGCTGGTACATCACGGTCTAGCTTCAGAAGTGGATTTCCAATCTGCCCAAATAAAGTCAATCATAACAAAACTAGATGGAAAATTGACTTGAAACCATTTTTTTTTTTTTTTTTGTTTTTAGTAAAATAAGTGATGTTTACTTACAGCGACCCCCTTAATGTTGAACTTGAAATCTTTGGAGTTTTCATTGTGATCCAGAAGTGCAACAGCTAGCTGCGGGATGTAGTGTCCTGTTCACAAAAATAAAGGTTAAATTTCTTTTATCAAGAACTATCATGTTTGGGAAAGAAAATCAAGGGGCCTAGATCAGTCAATCTTTTTTACAAGATTCTTACAAGAAAATAATTCACTTTGGCATGTTTGCGAATGATTGGAAAAATCAACAAATATAAACAATGAGATCACG